AAAAAAAAAAAAAAGAAAAGAAAAGAAAAAGGCAAACATAGAAAATAAACAGAATAACATGAAGACCATAATCCATCCTACCAATAAATACCGTGATGACAAGCACGAAGTCTGTGCCCATTTAGCGGGGTGTTCCATTAGACGAGCCGGGGTGTTCGAAAGCTGCCTGACCAGGTGCAGAGCCATATCGATCTGCTTCATTCGTACCAAGCGGCTGTGAGGGGAGGATGGGGGTTGCTCCCTGAGAAGTTTGATCAAAATATCCTCGTGCCGTCGCGCCGTTGGCCCCTTGTGCAAAGTTGCGACTCCGTTGCAAAGGGGGCAAAATTGTAGAGCTCGCCTGGTACTGTGGCCTTGCATACCCTTGCGGCATCATCGCACCCGTTGAATCCCCCGTCTATTCAAGGATGTTGGCAGTTAGCTTCTCGTCCAAAGATTCAATGGCTTATGGTGCCCATACAGGTGTGCCCGGTGGGTTTACCATGCCCAGCGACTGCATTGTCGCCTGCTGACTTGACCGACTATGGGCTCCTGGGTCTTGCATTTGAGGAACCTGAGCCGAGGGAGGAATACCGTAGGACATCTGTGTGAAGTGTGAGTGAAATGACGCACTATGGGTGTTTGGCCCTTAATCGTCAGGTCCGCCGCTATGCTCTCGTCGACGGAGGTGACGTAGGTACCGGGCTAGGGAGAGGTCTAACGAACCGCATAATCTGGAACACCCGTGTGTCCTGTAGGGTACCCTTGCATGATAGGAGTTGGATAGGCCCCTGGTTGGTTCGCATACATAGCCGCGGTCTGCGGATAAGCCTCCATTTGGCGCATCCGCCCATCATCATACATGCCTCGGTTACCAAAGTCAATTGACGTGCGTTGCCGCTTGACCGGGCCAGCATAATAACCGTAGTCTCGACTCGCTGCAGCTGCAGCTGCTGGATACCCCCCGAAGGTATTCCCAGGCATCTGAATCGAAGATCGATCTGGAGAACGAGGAGGAACCGGCTGGGGATAATCCTCCGGTCGCGGGACTGATCGCTTTCTGAATCTCAAGTCAGCTAAAGAGCCCCGGCGGTATTGGAGACGGGCGTTTTCTTGTATAGTTTTGACACTCACATCAACGTCCGCGGCTCTTTTCGGATCCTCAATTTTACACCCTGGTCGGCGAATGATCGGGACAGGAAAGTCGACTCTGCCATTCCAGGAAAACTCTTTGGGGGAGACACTGGGGGCTCGTCAGTGCCAACAATTTTAGCAGAGAAACTTCTCGGTGCAACCTTACCAGTGAAGCGTTCTGAGATGACGGACTTCAGATGAGTAACGATATCTCTGCGTGCCAAGTCAGCATATACGCTACTTTTCCTAGTTCCTCCAAGTGCCCCAAGGTTCCACTCATTAGTCCCCGACGGAAGAATATGCAATTGTCTTACTTTCGCATTTCAAAGAGTGTGAACTTTAGCCGAAAATCTCCCTCAACTTTCACAGAGAGGTCCCCAAAGACAAAGAAGCCCCCATCTGGACCAGTCAGTTCAGCCAATTTGACGTCTGCCATGCTCACTGGGGTTAACGTACCGTTGTTGTCCACGTCCTTCAGCCGATGAAGTGACGAGACTAAAGTACCGGTCAAAGCCGTGGATGGCGGTACGGGAACTGGAACATCATCTGAGGGATCGAACAAGCTGCAGCACATAAAATAATAGGGACTTTGCAGATAGTGTCTACGACCATCTGTTAGTGGGCGGGTCCTTACGGGATCATCTCAGCTCGAGCCACTTACTGCGCGAGATAAGTTCCTTCCTCTCTTACTCGGATCTGCACTATCGGTGGGGGGTCGACTGGCTTGCGTTCTGTGTAGCCAACCTCCGGTCAATACCCGCTAGTTGCCGGACCTTGCGGGCTCACATACCTTTCTCCTTCCCACCGGCCACGCGCGCCCGAGTGGGCTGCTGGCGGATGATTAATTCAAAGTCAGAACTGGGGGACAACATGGTCAGCGGGAAACCTTGGGGAACTGGGTAAGAGTTGAAGTTAGTAGGGACACAAGGGAAGCTCGAAAAAACACACCTCTGAGGATCGCGAGTAAGAGAGGCGTCCGGGAACGTAGACGCACTCATAAAGGCGAGATATCGAACAAGACGAACCAAAAAGGAGAGAGAGCCAAAGGATCCAGATCGGGATACCCGTTGAGAAGATTGCAGGGAACCACGAATGAAAGAGTGGGATACTCAGGGGAACAAGTTGAAGGAAAGGGCAAAGAGAGAGATCCTGTGGTTTTACAACAAGGCAAAAAAAAAAAGCCACGGGACTCTGGAACCTCAAGCCGGAAACTTGTGGTTCGACGAAGCACTAGAAGAAAGAATGATACACGGTGGGGATGGTTAGAGGGGAATGGGGGAGGGAAATGGTGGTTAATGATGAACACCACGGTATGATTAGCTAGTCGTTAGAGCTTCGACTAGAACCTAACAGGCCCGGGGTGGAGACCAGATTGGGAGTCAATCGACGTTGCCGCTTGTTGCAGCAGCTGAAACGACAATTGCTCTTGCGAGATTGAGGAACTGGTTACGAAAACGGCGCAGAGGTTGAAAAAGATGATGGTGTCGTCAGAATGCAAGCGGCAAGAGCCAACCGAGCACGGTTCCAGACAAACCTTAACTCGGGCAGGTGGAGGGCAAATAACCAAACTTGAGAGCTTTCTCTCTCTCTCTTTCTATCTTCTCCCGACTCTTCTTCTCACTCCACTTTTTTGCTGCCTTTTTTTTTTTATACTTTTTTTTTCCCTTTCTTTTAAAATTTCCTCTTCTGGTCCTCGAAGCGGATCAGATGATGAAGTGCAACCTTTTTAAAGTCACCCTTCGAGGGGGAAAAAATATCAGTGAAAAACTGCTCCCCGACCGTACTGCTTAGATCATCCAATAGACGTTGATCTAGATGTTGAAAAAAAAAATTAAGCAAGGACGAAAAAGAAAAAAGTACAAATATAGAAATGACTAAAAAAAAAAAAAAGAAAAACAAAAACCTAAGGCGAGCTGCGAGTGGCGCGGGATTGAGCACCGCCTAATTGATAGACCGTAGCTGAACGATGGGTCAACAAAAGTCGCCTCTTGGGTCCTGACAGGTCTCTGACGCACACACACACAAATTAATGAAGGTAAAATAGGAGGGGACGAAGGAAAAAAAAGTTTTAGGGTAAAAATTTAATAGACTGGAATCAGAAGACAACCAGCTGAACCAGACATATGAGAGTAGTGGAGCTGTACCAAAGCAAAAAGAGCAGCACCGGCCACCTTTCGGCCGTCAAGTCCCAAGCGGTGTTGCTGCCAGTGGAAGGGTCGACCACGGTTGAGAAAGCGGGCTAAGGTGTGTATAAGTCTCGACGATCCGACAGGAACCGTAGCGACATAGAGATGATGCGCACATTTGCAAGTTCTTAAATGATAAGAACAGAGCAATCAGAGGTGAGTTTCAGTTCGGCCACCTGCGCAAGTCCAAAGTCTACCTCGCCTAGGGCGATTCGATCAACGACTGATTGGGCTAAGCATGAAGTCCGTCGCGTTTGCGGCAGCCCAACACTCGCTTCCCCGAGCAAACCCCAACCCACAGCCGCAACGGTTTGGCCTCGTGCGAGCGGAGATGGTGCCGGCTATGCAGGTGATCTGACCCGTATCTGGGCGCCACGCAGGGTCTCCGATTCAATTTTTGACGACAGGGCAAGATTCTTTGGTGGTCGGTGCACGCGCCTAAGCATTCCAGTCAGAGTCTGGTCTTATTTGATTCTGCGTCTTCGAGATCGGCCCTGCACAGTACTTAAACTCTGACTGCCCGTTCGCGTGCCGGGTATAAGACCTTCATCCGTAGATCGCTTTTTTGCTTGAGCACCTTTTCCCCCTCTTAGTGTTTAGCCTTCCAATACGAAGATCACGTTTCCCTGACGACTAAAATTAACGTCTATCATTTCAAATAACAATTAAATATCATATCAATGCAAGACAATAACCGGATAGCAACCAACCTAGGTCTTATGTCATCCACGTTTGGATCCGTGTTTCAAGCAGAGCGACCCGAGGGAGGAGTGACGACTCAAGAGAGGATTCCAGGGCTCCTTAGGCCCACTCAATGTCCGTTGGCTTGACTTTTTTAAAGGATCATTAATAAACCAGATTCTGTCACGAAACATTTCTTTCTAATTCTCCTGTTTGGAAATACCTTCTTAGCGCAAGTCGCAGTGTACTGTTCATCGATGGGAAAACTCGGGGTGGCCGATAGCGCAGCAACTGCTCGACGTGATGGATACCGTGAGTTGTGTCACGCGATACCACAAATATGCTGTTGCTTTCTTTCCTCACAAGAAGACTACTATCAGTCCCGCAGCCGATTCGCCCTTTTCTCTTATTCTTGTTAATACAGTTTCCACCGTGTTGTGCGATGAATGAGATTCTCTTCGAAAGACCTTCCCCTCAATACCGGTTTCGCCAATGTGGAAAAGTTCTTTCTTTCTTTCTTTTCTTGGAGAACACTTAGGAAAGGAAAGAAGAAACTGACCGTCAATAACCACGTTACTCCGAAAGATGACGGTTAGCATACGACGCGGCTCGCAACAATTCCAGGACGAGGCTGTGGGAGTGGGCCTCTTTTCAACGTGCGGTTGTGGAGGAAAATCGGGCTTGAATTTCAGCTCTATTAGCTGCTGCATATTTAATGCTCTAGTTTGGTGGATGCATCACATTCCCTGTGTCCTGACATGCAGGTCGCAGAGTCCGCGGGTCCCCCACACATCCAGACCGTTGCGCTGCGAGGGTGATTGGACGTCCGTGGATATAGTACCTAAAATTGCTAGTCTATCAGAGACCGGGTTATTCGCCTGATGCAGCGTAGAGGTGCCTAGCCCTGCACGATCTGCCTTTGCTGATGGGATCCTCAAGGACAATTGGTTTCCCTCGTTGGTCTAGGCGAAACTCAGCAACAAAAAGCTAGCCTTACTTTAAGTAACGTTGACCGTCTTGATGGACTACGCTTCCTCCCATGCATGATGTGAAGATCCCTGACCTGCACTCGTGTAAAGCCGCGGCTGAGGATTACGCTTTCTTTTTCTTATCGCATGGGTTGGGCCTTCCTTCCAGATGAGCTGTGCTGCGTCTTTGACGTATACTGACCATGGAACTTAATAGGTGGCATCTGCATCTAGCCGCATCAGCTGCAAAGCTACTAGCATCAGAAGCCCGCCAATCCTGTTTTCTTTTTCTTTTTCTTTTTCTTTTTCTTTTTCTTTTTCTTTTTCTTTTCCTTTTTCTTTTTCCTCTTTCCACCCTCCCCTTCAAACAAGCAAACATCGGGCGACGGTCCCAGGAAGTATCGCCATCATTATTATTTTTTTTTTCAATGGTGCTCTTTGCCATATCGACAATGCGGCGATGTACCATTGCGCAGAAATTAAGGAACATCAGCAGGAAAGCTATTGCATTAGTAGGATCCACAAGAAGGTGAGCGACGAAAGGTCAGCTATTAGCGATAGCCACGCAAGGGTCTCATGGATCAGGATTCGTAAGGGCCGAGAGGTAGACGACTCACGACCACAAAGCTCTCTATTGTACAAATCAATACCTGCATTCAAGCAGAAGTTTCAATTCTCATCCTTCTGAAGATACCAGAAATAAGAAATGAGAAGGGGTTTCTGAGCGGCCAGTGTTGGCCAGAGAATTGAGTCATTTGCGCAGGTGCTAGTGACTAAACCTATGTGGAAGGGAGAAAGACTGTGATACCAAAAAAGAAAATAAAGGATCACGATTTTCATGCTTATTTGCTGGGTTCGATCGACGCCATCCCGGAGGCCTGTCAGCAACTCTCCGGGACGTTACCATGATTGCAACAGGTTAAAGAAATTCTCCTGCGTCGTCGCATATCATTAATGCCACGTTTCGGTGGCCAACAAAGTTGGGAGTCACTCAGTCAAGGAGACGATGCGCGGTTCTTTGCTGATCAACGGGATGCTGAAAGTACCTGTCAATCGTACACAATACCGGGAAACCCACTTTGCTTAGGGCCTGCCAAACGAAGCGAATTGTGGAGTTGTCGAGAGAGAAACATAGATTTTCTTACTGCCACGGCCTTCAATGCTCGAATCAGAGTAGGGGGTTAATTTTCATGGGAGAGGGGTATAAGAGAATGAGAAGGACGAAAATTAACCAGAAGTACGTATTGAGGTGAGGAGTAGAGAGAGAAGGGGGGGGGAAAGTTTTTTCTCGCTCTTTTATTTATTTTTATTTTTTTTCCCCTTGTGTTTACTGTTTTTATATTGGACCACCTCTTTTTGTCTCCGTACATGGCTTGGTGGGGGTCAACAAGATGCACGATGAAGTGTTCGCGGGCCCTAGCGGTTGCCCTTTGTGTGCAACACTTTGAAACGATTTCCTTCAAAGCGACTGACAGCAGCGGTCCGTCGGGCATCCCCATCTCGAACCAGACTTTCGCAGGCGCTTGTTCTACGCTACAGATATGCTTATCCCGGACCTGGGGATGGGTTCCGTGTCTAAAATTCCAGATCCATGGGTATACAAGTTTCGGGCTATATTCTGAGTTTAGGGGGCCTTGGACTCCACGCCGATCCTGCTGACAGCTCTCTTAACTCCTCGAAAGTATTGGACCAAAAGCACGCCAATGAAAAACAATATCTTTCGTCACAGTAGCAGAACCAAGTCCTGGATATTCTCCTACACATGGAAAAGGCCGAGAAAAGACCTCGGTTTCCAACAGCCATGAATGGTTGAGCATTAATTGTATTTGCTGTGTTACAACCTCGGCTTCTGGAAGTGTTTTGTGTGTGTGTGTGTGTGTGTGTGTGTGTGCGTATCTATTCATAGAGAATAGACGGGGATCCACATCGAGTGAAACTCCTAAGCGGGAAAAAAAAAAAAAAGGAAAGGAAAGGAAAAAGAAACTAAAAAGAAAGCCTCCGTTATTTGTCGCCTTTCATAAGAAAAAGTCAAAAGGAAAAGAAAGAAACAAGCCAATGATTACATCGAAGGCAAAGGAGGAATCTTCTCCTTGACAGATCATATTCAGTACGCGGCGATCCATCTTGGTACCACTTTGGCAGATGCCCAACAATCGTCTTGGTTTCTCTAATTCTTTCTCCTTTTTCTGTTCATTCTTTCTCTCTCTCTCTCTCTCTCTCTCTCTCTCTCTCTCTTATTTTATTTTTTTTAAGGGCAAAAATTTGATACTCCTACTACTACTTTTTCTTGATCAAACCCTATCAGCGATCTTCGGTTCTACTTACTAGTAGTTACTCTTTTCCACGAACAATGACCTAAGCGTACGATCTCATCTGAATAATCAATAATACTCACTGCAGGAATTCTTCCGAGATATAATTTCCATTTAAACTGCTAGTTTGACCGCTAGATACTCCAAAACCGCCGAGACAAGACGAAGCATCCAAAATTCCAAATCTCAAATGCACCCAAAACAGGCAGAGCACATACCTCTTGTGCATAAGACCAAAAACGGAGTTTTCCCCCCAGGCAGAAGGATTCATAATCGCTATTCATATGCACAGGGGACTTCGCCACAAAGGATGTACATACTCCATAATACAATATATACATACTGTGCATCCCAAGAAGCGCCACATCTGATCTCGCTTCCTTACTATTCTCATCCATTGCTTCATTGTGGCTCCACTAATCACATTCAACTGCGTACCTGCATACATCCACACCTAGAGAACTATCTACGGACATACGATAGTCGGTCAACAACATTGGCCTCCAATCTGACCAATCCTTCCCTTCATTCTCCACCCCACCCCCTAATACAGTATCTACCTGTACTACTGCATGCATCGCGATCTCAAGCACCACCTCATTTCCCGGTTTTCGTATCTGCGGCTAGTCGATCTAGTTCGTTCCAGTCTTTTCCCCATGTAATAGAAAATGCAACCTGATTTATAACGTAATCCAGCATGGATGTGATCCTCCACAACCTCATCCACTAGTACGTTGTCTCTTCCGTGACGAGAGTAGTAATCCCGACTGTGACGATAAGATGCATCACTAGGAAAATCGATACATCCACAACCATATAACAAACCACTCATCGAATAGGACTACACCGTCAGCAGGATGCTGATTGCAGTTCATAGAGCTGCAAGGGCATTCACATATCATTGACTTTTAATATGTACTCCGTAATACTTAGGTAAAACGGGAAAAGAAAGAAAGAAAACGAAGTGAGGCGATGACTCCTCTGCGTCAACATTACTTTTTTTTTTTTCGTTTTTTTCTTGTCTCAACTCACGTGCCTATCTGAAACCTAAATTGATAGTTCATCAGCAAACCACATCCGGGCTCGGGTTTCTGTCTATCGCGCATCTGGAGCCTGTAAACATGACCTATTACTAAGTTTATGAGGGGACTCAAGGTTTTTAGAAGTATCATATAACTACGTAAGTACAACAGGTTCCGAGAAATTTAGGCAGCAAAAAATATGATGACGAAAGCGGCTCTTCCATGTGTTCTCTCTCTCTTATACTATGCTCGCAAAGTGGATATTTGTCATGCTTAATACAAATGGTGCGCAATCGGGGACGTGTATGCGCCGACCCCATAATTCAGTCCTGGATTACATTAGGTGAAATGGAGAATTGAAAAGTGAGAAAAGAGAGAGCAAAGTCCTCTAGACCAAGACCGTAGGGGAAGGGGGGGAGGGAAAGCAGGAAACCCCCACTTTCACTCATGACAAGAACGAAGACAACGGAAGCAGAAAATCGCTGAGGTAACCCACGGGTCGGAGAATCGGAGCGCAATTCGTGATAACAGAGCATCGAATAATAGCCAGAACTCCAAATTCCTCGCCCACTCCTTGCTTTGTAAAAACAGCGCAAACAGAAAGATAAAGTGCCAAGTCATGAAACTTATCCCTTCGAGGGATAGAAATTGAAAACAAAAATCCCCTGCAAAGCCACAAGATAACGCCTCGTTTAAATGCTTCGCCATTTAAGGCTTTCTTCCAGGTTTGTTCAAAAATCATGTCTCCATGATCGCATCACCATCTTTATCCACCCCGTTACGCCCATCTGTGTGCCCATCCACCACCGCATTATGGTTCGTAGTACCAGGATCCTCTGCCGGAATGACGAACTCGAACTTTTCTACCACCGCCTTTCGGTTCATGGATCTGGTAAGTTTGGCTGGACTCTCAGCACTTACTTCATTAGTAGGCGTCACTTTTTCTGTAACATGAAGCTCTGTGTCCACGGTTTCCACCCCGTTGATACCATTAAGCTGTCCCGGCGCGTCATAATCTCCTGTGGGGGTAATTTGGGCATCTGTCTCCGATAATCCTTCAGGCTGAGATGGGTCTTGTTCCTCGCCCTTGGTATCCTCATGACCTGGCAGCTGGTCATCATTTTCGACACCGTTGGCCTCAGGACTAGTTGATTCAACTGCAGGAGAGTCTAGTAGCTTTGCACTTCGGCCGCGCCGGACGCTAGATGTATTTGCAGTAGGGGTCATAGAGACTAGTGCAGATGATCTTCTAGGTGTGTTACGACCACTAGTGCGAGCAGTTGTCGGAGTAACGGATACTTTGTTGTATGTAGTCTTGCTGCCAAAGGGTCGACCTGGGCGTCGTTTGACAACAGGCGCCTGAACAGGAGGGTAAACCTCAAATCGCCAAGCTGGTATATCTTGGACTGAGTTTGCTTCTGTGGGGTTAGAGTCTGCGGCCGGTTGTGTGCGATGATGAAGGCCTGTACCATTAGTCAGGAGTTCAGTCGAAGGAGGTCCGGCAGGTTCCACTGAAAGTTCCTCGGACACAGATTGTGTAACACCATTAATGGTCGGTTGAGGGTTATCATCTCCATTGACTTTGCCCAGATGTTCTGAAAGTTGTTGCTCTTCCTCGTTTCCAGAATCTTTCACATCTTCGACCTCCTCATCTTCCAAGCCCTCCCGTGGGGCAACTGCATGTAACGGAGCCCGATCGAACTGCGACTGGTTGCTTCGACCCATTATGTAGGGCGTCCACACAAGAGCATCGGGATTAAGCTGAACATAGCCTTTACTTTCCCAGCTCTGAATGCATTCTTCGAAGTATTTGTAATCAAGGCGTAATGCATAAGTTTTCGTCACTGGATCTCTGACAAGTGCGCGCAACGCTTCAAGCCCTGAAACAATGTCGTCTGCTGTCATGCCTGTCCGCTCCGAAAGCTCCACGATACTAAGGGGCGCCTTCTGTTTATGAAGCTGGTATGACAGAATGAGCCTCCAGTAGTTCCGATAAGATACTAAACCCATATCCGAAAGCGGTTTCTCGGGTGACCCTGTTTTCCCTTCGATGCGCGTGAGAAGGTATGAGAAGTCAATGAGAAGGTTACCGTAGCCTTTTCGCTGATGTATGGGCAGAGTAAGGATACAAGAAACGTTATTCGCGGAGCTGGGCCGTTTTTCTTTGCTAAAATAGCCAACAAAATGGCAGCCCAAGTCGTCGAACTCGGTCATGATGTAGAAAAGAAACGGTTCGACGTCGTAGTATAGAGTCTTTGACCCGAGAAACAGTTTTGCGAGCAAGCAGAGGTTCTGGCAGTATACCGGGTTCTTTCTTCCGTCGACTTCAAAGATCGAAATCGAGCCGTCGCGGTAGATTTCATCTCCGGGCGGATGTTTTGCCGGACACTTAAGTTTGTGGCGCCATGCGACATAATCCGAATTCATGTATTTTAAGCAAAACTCACAGATATATAGCACGCGGTTACGGCTGTACTCTTCTGGATAAGGCGCTGCGTACCAGGTCTCAATCTCATAGCCACCAAAGTTGATGTACTTTATCCTGGACGGTGGACCCGAGACTTTTTGTGCTGCATGCTGTACAGGCTCTCCGCCGCTCTCGGCTTCCATAACTCGTCTTTGCCATTCTTCTTCAGCCTTTTGTCGCGCTACCTCGAACCTCTCACGGTCAGGCTGCGTCGGAAGAGTCTTGGTAGTGTCTGCGTCCGCTTCTGACAGAATGCCACCGTACGGTTTGGATTTAGATTCGTCCATTTCGCGATCGTTGAAAGAATAAAAAGGGGACATGTATGACACGGGGATAATAGGGGCAAAATGTGCTGGAGGTTCATGTGCCACTGGGGGTGGCTTAGGGGTTCTTCGACCCCTGTACTGTGACCGGCTGCGAGAGTTAAGGATTTTAGAGAGCTTGGTCTCGTTAAGTTGAAATGCTAACACAAGCCTTCCGAACTGCCTTAATACCACGCGGCAGTTTTCCTTTTCCCCTCCCCGCACACGGCGGGAACGAGTCCGTACCGGAGACAGGGCGTCTGAAGCATCGCCCAAAGGGTCTCTCGACTCAGCCCGCTCGGACCGTAATGATGTCTGTCTCTGGCGTTTCCGAAGCACAGGTGTATGTTCCTGAACATCGGCTGACATAGTTTTCCTTTTTCGTAGCGATCGCGAGCTGTTCAATAAGTTGTCATCATCAATATCCACAGTATTGAAAATCGAATGGAAGCCAGAGCCCTCTTCTCCGGTATGTGCTGGCAAGAGCTCTTTTCGCATATTCTTCGGGCCGAGCCTTCGATGGGATGAACCATTGCCCTCAGAGTTTGGTTCCAGCTTTTCCCGAACGCATGTAGGACATCTCCAAGCGTTGGCATCTAGACTGGGTCAGTCCCGATGTCTATAATCAAATTAAATCAAGACACTAGACCTACCTTCGGCATCACTTAATGCACTTTGTTCGCGGGCACATTGCCGATGAGCTGTCGGGTTGCCGAGTCAGTAACGATCTTCGAAAGTTTTGGGGGGTGGCTACGCCATGTTTTTATGGGGCCGCAAATCCACATACAGTGATCGCCACAAACTGTGCATGTCAGATATTCCTCAAAGTCTTCGCTCGGATCGTGGTCTTCATCTTGTCCACAAAATCTATTGATTTTGTTAGCATATCAAACTGACGAATAATATCAAGCACGCGATAGGGACGAAGCTGGGGTAATTAAATAAAGGGTAACTCACATGCAGTTACCGCGCACCGTGTTGTTATCCACTTCTGCATCGTCATGGTCATTACTCTCACCATCCCATTCCTCATCATCATCCTCATCGGATTCTTGGCTGCTTGAATTAGAGCCGGATGCGTCTTGGTCGCTGTCACTTTGGTTCTCAAAAGCTGCGTCATCCTCTGCGTCGACCGCACCATCATTCTCCAAGGAAGGCTCCCCTTTCGGTAACTTCACAGCTCCCACCGGTTCAGTCTCATCATTTTCGCCGCTAGGGTTCAAATCAGAATCCGGCTCCCCCTCCGCATCTTTATCGTCCTCACGGCTAGCACTGTTGCTTTCTTCTGCAACCTCTCCCGAATATGCCCTATGTACAGCATCCTGGAGTTGTTGATCCATCTGATACAAATCCGTCTCCTCCTCTCCCTCCGCATCCTGATCGCTGTCAACCATATCTGGGGGTGGTCTCATTTCGGTATCATCATCAGCCGGCGGCGCGGTTGCCGTCATGGTGTATGTCACTAGGGTCGCCAGGTTGAGCAGCTCCTGCTTGTCTCCAGTAAGAGGGTTCGTGAACAAAGATAGCCTGGAGGTTGAGGCTATTCATGCGCCGCAAGAGTAGACAATCATCTGGCGCTGCACGTAATAGGCATCGGGAACAGAAACGAACGACCTTGGATACAGATGATCCAAACAAATAGCGAGCTTAAGAGTATCTATATGGTAGCGCAAGCGATACCCCCTGAACAACAGCGCAACCGAAGCAACAGTCAGTTAAGGAGCTGAACGGACGACTCCGATAAGGACAAACAGCGCGTAGAAGGACGCAATGGGAACCATACCGCACAGACCAACAGGTCAGAAACGTCAAATAGAGCAGAGCCAAACGCGTAGATCAGCAGTGAATACACCGTCCGAGGGCCTATCTAGCATCCAGAGCACTCAGCTGCGGCCTCTCGCCCCTTCTCTAGCCCGTGAGGTTGATGGCCGCGGCTGACTCAGCCGGCTGGACCCCCGGTCACACGCTAAGCCGCTTTAGGCCAACCTCCAGACCTCGACGTCGGCGGATTCCCGCGGCCACAAGAAACGACGACTTCCCCTCGGCTTTGTTTGCGTGTCAATCCTCATTCCTCTCTTAGCTCTCGCCTTGTTCGTTATTTCAATCGCACAGCATGGGTGTTCCTTTTGAGGCTCTGATCCCCTATGGGATCATCGTTGGCGTACGTCAAGCGTTTTCTCAGTCACTTCGATCGGCTCACTGACGATGCTATAACAGATGTTTGGCGTGACCGGTGTTGGTCTTACTGCTGTCAAGTGGCTCGGGAACGAGGGAAAGAAGGCCCGCTGGAACCGGGATCTGTGGGACAGAGTGAGTGCCTCCCAATTCCATAGGATGTGATCGAACCAGGTCGGCTAACACCCGCTCAGCAAAGTATGTGACTTTCCCAACAACTCACGATTGAATGATATACGATTGCCCTCCCCATCACAACGGACGAATAGGCTGGATGCTGACGACTGGATAACTATTCGACAGTGATGGAGAGAGATTTGAGAATCACAGGAACCTTGAGAGGCCAATCAAGCAACGCCGAAGCCCCGAAGGGATTCGAGCTTAGCAACCCATGGAAGGTATGATACATGTTCATGTCTCATTCAATATGTCGGGGAGAGGTCTAACAAATCGAATAGCTGGAAAAACGGATCTACTAAGCCACTCCGATCTGTTACAACCTATGTCATTTATATCGCCTCTTTGTTCGCCTGCAACTTTTTCAATAAATACCATGCAATGATTAGAAGAAGCCTTCTTGTATTATATTACCAGGCTAGCAAAAAAGCTGCAGGGTAGTTGCGAACTCTAAAGTTCTAATTTGGACGATCTAGCTTCTATTTAATCTGAGATACTAAGCCCCGAACCCCCTCAATTTCGTGCTCGAGGAAGTGCATATCAAACCACTTAGCCAGAGCATTGACCCTGTCCTCTTCTTTTTCGAAAGTCGCCACCGTCTCTGTCTCCCCACGCAGTCTCTTCTTCACCTCCTTCCCGGACAGGATATAGATGCCTATCGGCTCAATGCCAGTCTCATCCAGGATGACCCGTGTACACACCAACGCCTGCACGAACCAACTAGTCGGCCGATGACTAGTAGAGTAATTCATAGTGACAAAATCCTGCGGTAGAAATTCTACCTCGGAAAACGAGTACTGCGGTACCCAGTTGCTTTCCGGATTGTGTCTGATCTGGTAAATCCAGAGTTTCTGATTTCTATCAGTGAATTCAATAGGCGTATCTTTGACTAGACGCATCTCAGCTGGCGCCATGCATACAGCGATGGTGCCATCTTCTTTGAGCGGCAGTGGACTTGTAGGACCAAAGTTGCCGAACCCGACGTCAACCTGTTCGTTTCCGCATCAGAGATGGCCGACATGTACTCGGTAGGGGAGTAGAAGTTACCATGTATCTTTGACCGTCGATAGTTACAATGAGAACCATATGTCCTCTGCGTAGCACATTTAGTGGTGTTTCTTTCATGTCCCATGGCTGGCAATCACTTACAAACTCATATACAACTCACTACCGGGAGTCTGATTCCCACCGGCCACGGCTTGGCTCACCCGTCCACCAGTTGGATAAGCATAATACCCCAGACACCGTAGCACCATATAGAGCAAGTTGGTATTTTCCATACAATACCCGTCCAGGCGGCGCACGACCAGTTTATCGAATATAGCCGCGGGGTGGATAGAAATGGATCGGTGTTGCGAATAATGCAAGGCCGAATTTCCCCATGGGATGGAGGCCAAGTGCCGTCGTTGCAACTCTCTCAGGGTCGCCAGGCGATCCTGCTGGATTGATTGTAGGACATGGTGAAGCCTACCTGTAGTGTTGTTGCCTGGTGTGGCGTTGATTGAGTCGGCATATCCGATTCGTTCCAGATAGAGTTCCAGTTGTTCGGAGTTATATGTCTGAGACGAGGAAGCCATGATGATATAGTATATAGGAGTAGGTACAATGCTCTATATAATCTGAGAATACAGGGATCAAGGAGAAGGGGCTTTTGCGAGGGTAATACTTGTATGTAGTATGTACATACCCTAACTTAGTAGGACTTAGTAATTGATCAATTGTGCTAAGTTACTCTATTATACCTAGTTTATTTCGGAACATCGGCAGTTCTAAAAACTCGTTTAGGCGACGGCTTGGAACCACGGCACTGACCAATTGTAAGGCCATTACTACTATACTAGTATTATTAACGAGAGTAATACGAAGTGCTTTAGTCAGGTATTGGTCATTGGGGTCTCGTTGACCTTAAGAAGTGTCCATCATTCTTTCAGAGATCATGGAACTTTAAAATGCTTAGATTGATCAATCTTACACATGGCGGGGGGGGGGAAATTTTCCTGGTACGTAGTTAATTCGTGAGTTAAGGTGCCTGAGCCAAGAACTTAGAATGAATTTAATTAGTTAAATATAAAATTCGATGATGTCAGTCTTCCCGATCCTCGGTTATTTTGCTTTCCATAGATCACGAGATTCAACCATGACTATTGAAAACCTGAGATGATTATCTGATTAAACTAAACAATCCGAAATCTTATCAAACGGGTTTGTTGCGAAAAAAAAGGAACCCTCAGTATATTCAAGATTCCCACCTTATAGCAACAATACAAGTCCATTGACGCAACAGCACCCAATCTCACCGTGACCTTCCTATAAGCTCCGATCAACCGAAACCCTACCTACCAGTACCTATATATATATATATATCAGCATCGAATGGACTCCATCCCCAGGATCCTCTCCAGGACTTTCCTCCACCTCAGGACAGCTACTCTCCAATTATCCTGTAGAGGAATCACCCCACTCTCTATCTTACCTGCCCAACGCACCATGTCAACATCAATCGAACAAAAGCTGGACGTTCTACGGAACTACTCTGCATGTGACGTATGTCAACGCATATACTCATCATTTACACAACCAAATTAACAACGAAAACTCAGGTATCAGATGCGTTACTCAAACTACAAAAACTCCCCGAGGGTACCACAGCTCGTGCTGGCCATATAGCTGATTTCGGTGAGCCAAGTCTTCAAAAAAAAAAAAAAAAAAAACCCCTACAATACCTATACACATTGCACGTACACAGAACTCCCTGATTAACAGCATCTCAAAGTCCCATTCTCACCAACCATCGGCCGAAATGAAAACGCCCCCAAAGTCATCGCCCCCGCTTCAACATTCAAGTTCATCCCCAAATCAGACCCCGCCCCGACTACTGAGTCGGTAGAGGCCCATGGCTTCCCCGCGGGGTCGCACTGGGTCGACTTTGCAGAGCCAGGAACCGTGGCTGTGATTGAGCAGCCTGAGGGGCAACACTGTGCCGTCCTGGGTGGGATTATGGCGGTTCGGATGAAGTATCTCGGGGTCAAGGGGGCCTTGGTGAACGGGCGCGTGCGAGATCTAAGTGAGGTCAGGGAGTGTCAGCTCCCGGTAAGTTCATTCTTTTATTGCTTTTTTCTTGGGTACTTGGCTCTGACTGGGTTATGGTTAGGTCTGGGCTCGTGCCACTTCTACGGTTGGAACCGCCGCGGAGGCTAAACCGGGGGCTCGGAATGTGCCTGTTTCCCTTGGTGGTGTGACTGTGTCTCCGGTATGTCTTTCTCTTTTGTAAGCTGTTGGTTCTGTTATTGAACCATTGCTGAATTTGCGTTGCGCTCAGGGTGATATCATTTTCTGCGATCCCTTGGAAGGCGTGGTTGCTATTCCACGCGAGCTCCTTGATCAAGTGCTCGATCTGATGCCTAAATTGGTTGCGATGGATGATAAAGTCAAGGAGGCTGTGCTTCGGGGGTCAAATGTCTTTGATGCCTTCAAGAAATTCAGAACTAAAATCTAGTGAATTGCTCTGGCCTGGCAGGAGGTATCCTACAGCGTTTTCGTCTACATGAGATATGGAAGGCTTGTTTTCATAGTTGAACCGCGGTCTTTTAACCAATCCGAAACTCAATCTTCATGCTTGGTATTCTGGAAAGTATGCGTACAAATCAAAATCGTCATGCGTATATATAATCGCTGTACAGGAAGAGAATCGAAGAAAAAGGGACACACAAAAACAAGTTTTGAGCCAGCTCATTTATTCGCGAACCCAAACGGCAGCCATGCCCATACCAGTACCAACACACATGCTGGTGACACCGATCTTCTTGTCAGTGCGCTTCAACTCTGTCAGCAGGGTGCTGATCTGGCGAGAACCGGTGCAGCCAAGAGGGTGTCCGAATGCAATGGCACCTCCCTTAGGGTTGATCTTCTCTTGAGGCAGTCCAAGTTCATTGACACACCACACGCACTGAGAGGCAAAGGCCTCATTGATTTCGTAGATGTCAACGTCATCCTTGGTGATGCCAGCCTTCTCAAGGGCCACGGGGATGGCCTTCCAGGGGCCGATGCCCATGAGCAGGGGCTTAACACCCACAACGCTAGCGGCGACGTACTTGCCGATGATCTTCTGACCGAGGCGCTCAGCAGTGGAACGCTTCATCAACAAAACAGCAGCAGCACCGTCAGAGATCTGGGAGGCATTGCCAGCGTGAATGGAGCCATCCTTGGCGAAAGCAGGGCGAATCTTGCCCAGGGATTCAGGGGTGATGCCGTCACGGATACCATCATCAGCCTTGACGGTAATGGTCTTCTCCTCGCCAGACTTGGGGTCGGTCCACTTGACCTGAAGAGGATAGATCTCCTCGTTAAAGAGGCCAGCCTTCTGAGCCTTAACAGCCTTCTGGTAGGACGAGGCGGCGAAAGCATCTTGGACAGCACGAGAAATGCCACGATCCTTCGCCATGTTCTCCGACAGAACACCCATGGGAACCTTGCAGTTGGCAGACTCTTGGTGGTTTTCGAGGAGATCTGAGAATTCAGTGACAGCACCAGGGCTAAGACTGTCAGTAAATCAAAGAACTGGACCAATGGACGTATATTCCACTTACCCATACTGAGAGGACATGCTCTCCACACCAGCACCAATACCAACTTCAATCATGCCGGACTTGATAGCATTGGCAATGTCAACAATGGCCTGGAGACCACTGGAGCACTGACGGTTCAAGCTCTTGACAGCAGTAGTCTCGGGGAAACCAGCAACCAGAGCAGCAGCACGGAACTCGGTGGCACCGCCACCAGGGGCAAGGACGGAGCCGACAGCAACATCCTCAACGACGTTGGGGTCGATGCCACTCTTCTCAATAACACCCTTGAAAACGCCAGCCAGGATATCAGCAGCCGCAGTATCCTTGAAGCCACCCTTTCCACCCTTGGTGAGGGCAGAGCGAAGGGCACATGTCACGACAATGTCATCGGGGTGCTTCTCGGTGATGGCGGCAACGCCCTTCTTACCACCAGGGGTGAAGTGGGAAGTCACCTGGGTAAGACGCTGCTGAGCTAAAATAGAAAAGAGGACATACGTTAGGTTATATTGATTTAGCGGCTAACAAGAGGATATTCAATCCCAGCTTACCAGAAGACATTATGACGTCAGTGAAATTTTTAGAGAATACGAAGGAGGAAGAAAAGGGGTATCAACAATTAAATAGATAGTAGGAGGGTAGAGAGAGAAAAGAAAAGTGAACAGATCCCTCTTTATATCTTGAACCTGGGGAGACAGCGTGGAGTAGTAGAATCCACTTGGTCGGCCCTGTTGCCTTTTTGTATGCTCTTGCCCGGTCCTGTGAAAGTACCGAGGCTCACCCGCATCATCATTGTTCCGGGGGAATGCCGGTCACGGGATTTCTAGGGCACGGCAGGCTTTCATGTGAAGAAGAAAGTCCGAATGATCGTCCTGTTCCTAAGCATTTGATCTTGTGACAATGATGTCGTATATGGGCAAAAGCCGAGCTTCATGGATGACACTTAAGTGTGAAGGTAAAGCTAACATCTGGGTTAATCTCTACGCTCTGAATACTGTGCGAGCATTCCATCAGCAGTACGGAGTAGTATGTACATCTATGCTTGCTGCTTTAACTGTATACTTAATAAGATCTTGATGATATGGTAGGGAGATCCATTTTTGAAAAGCGTAAGATTACAAAACTTCCAAGTAGTTCCTGAGGCCAGCCCGGACTTTAAATTGCGCTCCACCATTAAGCCCGAGAGCGGAAGAGTCTGGGCGGCGGAATTGCACCCCAGACTGTTAACAACCTTTTTCCTCCGCCTTTAAAACCCACTCCTAAGCTAACAACCAGTACCTGTTCCTGGTTGCATATATCACTGTATAGTGTGCTACAGTGATCATCGACATGTCCTCAACATTTCTCCTGCGCCGATTCCCGGCATCTATATCATCCGCGTCGTCCACTCGAATTGTCGCATTATGCAACAACACCAGTCTCAACCGACTCCAGCCCTCACATCATGTAGTATCCCAAATCTAGCCATATACCACGAACCGCACTCGCAAAGCTAACGGAAAAAAGCCTAATCTCCAGAATGCCTCTCCACTAACACCTGTCCGACCATTCTCGCAAACACTTCGCACATATTCCTCGCCTTTCCGCCTATCCTCGATCAACAACACAGCCACCACGCAAGATGACCACCCTCCATCTCCCGAAGAATACCCCAACGGCGAACCCATGCCCTATTACAGTCCTTATAAGCCTAAGCGCCAATGGCCCCCGGACATGTCCAAGTTGTCACCGAAACACCAGTTCCGACTCGAGCGCAAATATCGTCGGCGTGCGGCACTTAAGTTCGCTCGACCGAAGTGGGTGAAGGCAACAAAGTTGGTTCAGTGGGGTGTGATCGGGTGTAAGTACTCCACAGTGCTGGCCTGAGTATTATAATAATCGAAGTTTGCGGGCTGACGGATGCTGGAAGTCGTTATTGTGTATGCCGCGCTTTTTATGGAGTGGGATGAGAGGGGAAGCCCGTTTGATGAGGTAGGTGCCCTACCTGATGATGTTTTCTGGCTCTCGATTAAGGGGTATATTCTAACCTGGGGATCTCTTTTAGTTTCGAAGGGTTTTCTTTGCTGGTGTCAAGGGGGCATTTTCTACCCCTCCACCTCCAGGACCGGTCAAGAGGTCGGATGATAACTGAGTGGCTGAGCAAGCCAGGTGTAGGCATTGTTCTACTGGGCTCAGGCTCAAGACGCCCTGTGAGGGTCGGTAACCCACACAGTGAGGTGTAGTACAGCAGGAAGGGCGTGGGAATCTCCCTGGACTTGCTTTCTTTCTATTGTGACATATTGTATATTACTCTACCATACTTAGAGACGGTTTGATAAACAAATCTAGGGCGAGTGATTGGATACTGCGGATAATCTACTCAAAAATAAGAATTCATCTCAACTGTCGTACCAAAGTGTTCTGGACTATAACATGTCTGTGCAAAGGAATGAAAACACAAATTTCACCTTACACGCACTTGCGCAGGAACGTCAAATCTCGTCAATGTTATGGCACCGTTCCTTCATTATATCGTTTCGCCGTGACCGTTAGTCAACGGAAAATGCACCGAAAACTCCAAAAGCAAAAAAGAAAGAGCCAACGCCGTCCTGTCCAAGACTCCATCATAGAGAGAGGAAAGTGAACCAAGGGGATCAATGGTAGAAAAGCAAATAAAAGAAAAAGAAAAAGAAAAAGAAAAAGAAAAAGAATAGAAAACCAAAGTCTCAGCAAACGAAAAAGGGAGAAAGAAGAAAAGGAAATACTAGCTGCATCACTGGCTCATGCGCACACGTCTAGGGAGACTCAAGGAACGCTTTGCAGAGACACAACAGTCAACGAGCTGAATAGCGATATATACAACCCACTATTCCAGGATATCATTTGAATGACCTTTACAGCCAGTTTCCTAGGCCTTCATTCTTCTGAGACGCCCGGTTGTTAGCAGGAACATCCAACGCCAACTCAAGTCGAGGAGGCTTCTCATCCAAAAGGCCCTTCTTAGGGCTCCCACCAGCCGCCTTGATTGGCGATTTAGTTGGTGATCCGGGCTCAGGTCGAGGTGGACCTTCGCGGACAGCTGTATAAGGCCAGCCATCTTCCACAGCGGCAGCAACCCATGTCCGCAAACAATCGTGGACGGAAGCATAGAACTTCTCTTTGCATGTTCTCAAGTTGCCACCCATAACTTTCTCGAATCCAGAAGCTCGGAGTTCGGCACGCAGTTTGTTGCGCTCCTCCGCTGACGGCAATGATGCCACAAGCCCATTCAAGAGATCTAGATGCGCAGCTAGATAATTGGTTGCATCCCATTCAACTCCGCCCACATAGGGCGCAGCAGGTACCGGAGGCCTAGGAGCAGGGAAATGCCTCTCTCGATAAGTTTCCAAACCTGGTTTCTCGCTTTTCACAATCGGTATCACGTTCAAGTGATGCAGGAATATCCAGAAGACTTCTTTGGTTACGTTGGTAACCTCTTTACACCAGACACGGTACGGGCGTGACTGGTATATGTTTGCGATAAATGAAAGGGGTTGGTTTTCTTCAGGTGGTGAAGGGTCTCGCAAGTACGACAGGATTCGGGTGGCACGAGATCCGGCATCCTCAGCTGACGATGCTGTGGAAAGTTGTGTAAAAAGGAGATTGATAATGATACTCCGCGTTGTGTATTCGCTTGGTCCTTTCTTTTCCTCGTCAAACAACATCTTCAGGAGCGCTGGGAAAATCTCTCCCTCAACAGCTGTAAGACGGTGTAGTGCAACTGAAGTCGTGCAGAGTGCCTTCAAGCACAGCAAAGTTTCGTGGAGCAGGTTATCCTCATGTTCTTCCCTGTAGAAGCATTAGCGGGCATGTTTATGTTAAACTAAAGGCAGGCAAGGTAAGGTTGCATGCATACCTCCACTCAACCATCATGATCCTGTAAAGCAACTGTATAATTTCGTCCATACCGCCATCTGCAATAAATGTATCGACCCAGCTGATTGTTTCATTCCGCAAGAGAAGTCGAAGTTTGTGGATTTTGCCCACTTCCATCATCTCCGGCTTCTGGATCTCCCTTAGATAATGAACAAAGTCCGAGGGATCAGCTGCGGTGTCCTGGCAAGCTGTTGCAGAGAGAGACGTCGTGGAAGTTGACGGTGTCAATAGCTTTGAGAGGCCTGGCTGTGAGAAATCTGCAGATTTTGGACGTCGATGGGAGCTTCCGCTCTCCGGCCGTTTCTTCGTGGGAGATGAGCCCTTGGAAAAGCTGAACCCGCGACTTCTGGATCGCGACCGTGACCCTTTACTGTCGTTATTGTGTTGGTCTTCTTTCTGTTCCTTTCTGCGACCTCGGCGACCTGTGCTGTCATTGGGATGCACGCTTGTACTGGCGCTATGGGCGCTTTCTCCTTTGTCCTTCTGAATGAAGTCCGCTTTGATATTAGTGTCCAAAGACCTCATCTTTTCCCTCATATTATGAGGAATGTTTCTTGCGTCCTGGATTTCGCGTTAGCTGTGTCTTCTTCTTTATGTTCTTGTGTTTCTTTTCCTTTCTCAAAAATCAGGAGTCTTGTGCGATGTACTAACCAGAAGCTTCTCGAATTCACTCTCGAGGTCCTTGGAGTTCAAGCGTCTCTGCAGTTCCGCTTCTCGTTCTTTCGCATTGAAAGCGGATATGGCTGCCTGAACACGCGAGACTTTCTTTGGGCTTTGTTCTGGCTGCGGCTCGGCACTTTGGCGTGACTCAGGCTTGGATAGTGCCCGTGGTCGTCCCCTTCGTTTAGAAGGAGAGGGGGGTTCTGCTGGGTCAGAGGGCGAAAGCTTCTCCGACGATATATTCTGCAGTGATCCAAACAGCTCCCGCACCTTGCGATTGCCGGAAAGGAACTCTGATTTCGGACGAGGCTTGGGGTCGGCGCGGTTCGTGAGAGAGGGTTGGTGGTAGTCCCAAAAATTACGCTGCTGGGCTGGTCCATACCCCTTAGGGGTGTAAAGCGAGACCTCTTCTTGGAAGGTTCTACGGTTGGAGGGGGAGGGTGGTACCGGAATCTGGTCATAGAATGACCCAGTCGCGTATTGGTTCCATATAGGTGATGGCATGTGGTTGACTAGGTCCGTCGGGCTCCGATTTTCTTTATCCCGACCACTCTTTGAGGTTTCAGCCTTTCTTCCGCGCTGAGACCGCTTCAGGATTGCTGAGAGACTGTTGGCTGATTTAGCCTTCTTGGGTTTCAAATCTTCGGACTCGTTCTCGGGAGACCCTGATCGGCTGTCTTTGCGCTCCATGTAGCTCCTTAGAGACTTCAGGGACACAGCACTTTTCGTCTTCTTGTGCAACGTATGCTTTTCCTGCTTACCAGGCGACCTCTGCCGAGGCAAGCCATACTCCGCGGCGTCTCGATTCGGAGCAATTTCGGTCAATGGCTGTTGATCCAGGGTGGCATACGCCTGGTCCACTGGAGACCAGAATGCACTGCGAGGGGGCTGGCTCTGGTAGGGAGGTTTGCAAGAGGCGGCGTCGTCTGCGGAAGGGTTCCTCTTGTGGGCTTTAGAAGACAAAATTCCTCGGAAGACGGATGGTTTGGTCGGGACACGGCTAGCATCGTCGAAAATATTGGGACCTTGCATGTTGGGAGCCATGTCTGAACGCCTTTAACCCGAAACTGTTAAAATGGCAGGCGAAAAGTTAGCATATTGACTGAAGAAAACACTCTGGTAGTGTCGACAGAGGGAAGGGTAGGCACAGAGGACTTACGGGGACAGTGCTCCAATGCAACCGCCGATATACAGGATATTTATAGACGGAAGAAGAAGCGGATACAAAGGTATTAAGTGGAGCAGGAAAGACAACAATATGTATTTAGACAGAAAGTAAAGGCATTGGGGAATAGTAATCATTAAAAGCAAGAAGGCAACCAAGAAGGGAAAAAAAAACGCCCGCGAGAATCAGACAACGGCAACAACGATCACTGCAGTGGTGGACAACAGGTGGGCAGACCGGGAATTTGAAGTCTTCCGTAGTGACAGAGGAGAGTAAAAGGGCATGATCATCCTTCCCCCCCCAGCCTAAACTAATTCGTCAATGGCGTTCGTGGCAAACGGCTGGAGCTGCAGTGCAGAGAAAAGCGGAGGATGTAAACACATTGCCGTCATTGGGGTTGCCAGGCAACCAGCCACCTGGTTGTTGCTGGTGGCGGGTGCTTATCAATTATCAATCAGTCCCATCAGCTGATTGATCGCTCTGATTTTTGTGATGTATGCAGAGTAAGTGGATATCTTTCCCTCCTTCTTGTCATCATTGGGGCACCATCATACAATGTAGTATCGACAATAGATTCCAATGTGATACAACAGTTTTTCTTTGCTTTTTGCTTTTCTTCAGATCTTGTATGATCGGACCTAGCAATGCAAGACGAGTACATCGGGTGTTGGTGTCTCCACACAGGGGAAAAAATTGAGATGGTTGGAAACCAGCTGAGCAAAGCGATAAAAAAGAAAGAAAGAAAGAAAAAGAAAAAGAGAAAGAGAAATGATATAGGAGTCACTCCTCTTTGCTGGGTAAGAATCAATTATTGTATCCAGGTTCCAATAATTGAAGAGAGCATACATGAACTTTGTGCAAGGGGAAAGCGGGTGGGATTAGATAAGCCTCCAGGTCACGGGACATGTCATAGTGAGCATAAATTCCTGCCAAGGCAGATCCGCTTTCTTGGAAAGTCTTGGGCGTGGGGGTTACATATTATAAAAGTATCTCTAGATCTATATAGTATCAAACAGTTCATCAGTTGATTTTGATCTCTTATTCCTCTTGCGTAGTCAGGTAATTTTAGCGGAGAATAACTTTTCCATCTTCCTCAGTCTTCCCTCAGGAACATGCTGAATAAGATAGACCCGTTTCTCTCTTCACTCGCCTCCTGAGAACAGGCCAGTGCTAGTAAGATGCCGTCATGGTCACAGATTGATCTTGTTTTCCTCCTTCTCTGCCAGGGTACTCATACACTTCCCAAACCGGCTGAAGGACTTACTAAATGGGATTCTGTTTGATCGTTAAGGAACCAACTTGGCCAGGTCGTCCTCTCACTGTATGTGCCCACTTTGTACTAGTTGATGTGTCGCACTGGGACTGGGACTACCGTAGCCGGGGAATTTCGGGCATTCGTTCCCGCACGTTACTCTGATTTGGTTTTCGACGTGGTACTTACGGTTTAGAATACATCACAAGTACTTCACGGAAAATTTTCTGCAGCTGACCACGTTGTTCCCTGCGGTTCACAACTACGATGAACTGCCCCTCGCGAACCGATGATACTCTGGAGCATCCGGGTTGGAATCAAAATCCGTCCGACTTGAATGCAGACGTAACGACTCGCAACGATCTCAACGGCATTGCCAATTCCAAGGTGCATAGGAAGCATGCTTCTGGTGTGGGAGCAGCAAAGGGGGAAGGGATCGCGATCGTAGAGCCTCAACTACATGGTCGAAATCGAAACAATACCGAGTCCGAGAAGAAGATGCCTGGCGAAGTGGTCTCTGCAGCCTCTGGGTGCCAAACACCCAAGAGGAACAGTAGATCACTTCGCCGCTCTCTTAAAACTCCTTTCACAGTACCCTTTTCTCGTATGGTGCAGAGTATCGTGAAATTTGCTCGCTTTGTGGGCCCCGGATTTTTGATCGCCGTAGCTTACATTGACCCGGGAAATTATGCGACTGATGTTGCCGCCGGTGCAGAATATCGATATGCTCTCCTGTTCATCGTCCTTGTTTCTAATCTCTTTGCCATATTCCTGCAATCGTTATGCATTAAGCTTGGTACGGTAACTGGATTGAACCTGGCAGAAAACTGCCGAGAGCACCTTCCTCGATGGATGGTATATATCCTCTATTTTCTTTCGGAGGCAGCCATTGTTGCAACGGATATTGCGGAGGTAAGTTCTACTAAAGTTGTCATTTCTCCCGGAGGAAGCACTAATGCAAGCCCCCGTAGGTCGTTGGGTCAGCAATTGCACTCAACCTCCTTTTGAAGATCCCTTTGGTGGCTGGATGTGCGATCACACTTGCCGATGTGCTTTTCATTCTTATCTTCTACAAACCGGATGGCAGTATGCTGGGCTTACGTGTATTTGAATTCTTCGTCATGGGGTTGGTGTTAGGAGTTGTTGTTTGCTTCTCCATACAGCTCTCACTCATCAGGGACCAGTCAGTTGGGGATGTATTCAGGGGTTACTTGCCATCGTCTGCTATAGTAGAGTCTACGGGGTAAGTGGAATTGGTCGCCTACCGAGTGGTGTGCTTGACTAAAGGTGTTGGTGGCGATAGTTTATACCAAAGCTGTGGAATCCTCGGCGCTACAGTTATGCCTCATTCGATGTTTCTCGGCAGTGGTGTTGTCCAGTCGCGCTTGAAAGAGTTTGATGTTACTGAAGGCTACGTCGACCCGTCCGTTTGTTTAGGAAGCACCAACGGGGAGGTTGAATATAGACCTTCTCTTCATGCTATCCGAGGATGCTTGAAGTATTCTATCGTAGAACTTGCGTTGTCGCTTTTCACATTTGCTCTTTTCGTGAACAGCTCTATCCTGATTGTTGCAGGGGCTGCGCTATATGGAAAACCGGATGCTGGCGAAGCTGATCTCTGGGGTATCCACGACTTGCTTTCTACTTCTATTGCTCCAGCTGCCGGCCTGATTTTTGGATTGGCCCTGCTTCTCTCCGGAATATCTGCCGGGATCGTGTGCACGATGGCAGGGCAGATGGTGAGTGAGGGTATGTTGAATTGGAGCATTAGACCCTGGCTCCGCAGGTTGATCACTCGATCCGTGAGCATAATCCCCAGTATCATCGTTGCAGGTGCCGTTGGCAGGAAAGGCCTAGATAAGACCCTTACTGCTAGTCAAGTGGTGTTGAGTGTGATTCTCCCCTTCGTGAGCGCCCCCCTGGTCTACTTTACCTGCCGCAACCGATATATGACTGTCCCATCTGATCGGGTTAGGCACGACGAAGACCAGACCCAAAACGAAGGGGTGAAGATGAAAAACAATATCATTACCACTGTGGTTGCAATCCTGATATGGTTGATTATTGCTGTTATGAATGTGGCGTTGCTTGTCTTAGTTGGTCTCGGTAAAGCCTAACAACCGATGCAAAAACACACGCTGGGAAATCATATGGCTCAAAGGGAAAGAACAGGTAGACAGGAGGGAAAAGAAGACATATACATGGCCATTATTAAGTTTGAACTGTAAAGCAACACATGCCTTGAAAAGGACGCCAACACCCAATCAATCTAAAGATGAATATGTAAAGATCCTAACTCCCATGCTCCCATGACGAAGAACTCCAACAACCTTGTATCTCCATGGTCATCATTATCCTAGACCGCTGGCAGGCTCTTTGACCTTAGTTTGCTCTGGGGGCTCGTCAATAAACTGGGGTGGCGCCACCTCATCCTGGAGGAAACTAGGCATTGCACTTTCACCCATCGAATTCTCAAACATTGTCTCTTCTCCCAGCGCCTCCAATTCCGCATCCAGCTCCGCTTCATCCACGTCCTCAGGAACATCATATGCACGCGATATACTTTCCTGGATCTCGTTCCCAATGTCCATCAAGTCGGCCATCTCATCCTGCATCCGCTCAATCTGGTCCACATCGATCTTGCCGTATTGCTTCTTAAGGGTCTTGGTAGTCGTCTTCATTGCATCCACAGTTGTCATCACATTCTTCAAGTTGTCCTGCATCATCCCAGCCTGTTCCATATTCCATGATTGCTGGGACAGCTGATCCCGTTGGGCTTCGTATTGTTTCCGTCGCTGCAGCACCTTAAGCGCCTTTTGTCGGAGGGCATTTTTGCCCGGTCCATCGCGCATCTTGGAGATTTTTGATTGATAGGTAGACAGTTCTGAGTTGAGAGCTGCCAGTTTCACGTCTATGCTCGCAACACGATTGTCCACCTGCCAGAAAGCGGGATGTTAATCATGCGGGGCAACCAGACCGGGGAATTTGAGTAACAAACAAATAGTGCTTAATACTTACATTTGCGATGGCGCCGTCAAGTGTGGGTTTGGGCGCATTGCTCTTAGCTCCAAAGAGGCGATTCATTTTGATGACTATTGAACAGGAAAGGGGGACGCGAGTTGCAAAAAAGGTATTTCGGCGACTCAACTGCGGAGGTGACTTTATCTCTAAGCAAGCAGTAGGAATGAAAACTAACCTCAAGGTGGCGCTCCTTCCGTTGCTGCCTAAGGCGTTTAACCGTGGAATACTACTAGTAATCTACGGAATATATAAGCCTGTTTCATATGACTACGTACTACGTACTGGCAACTCCGTAGGTTTTAAGGCTTCGCATCACCTGACAGGTGTTGGGTCTGTTAGGCAGATGAATAGCACGTGTGACCATACTTATTTGCCAAAGGAACATTACAGAGGAATGAGAGTGAACAAGGCTAATTTAGGTATGGGCGGTACAGAGTACTTATGGGTGTCTCATCCTCGGTATGGTAAGAATGAAAGTACCTGGTACATACTATACGCACGGGCAGCTATGGCCAATGCGGGTACCCAGTACCCATTACCTTACTGCATACCGGATACATGATACAAGTTCTTACTTGCTGCAAGGTGGTCCCCAGCAACAATTAAAGGAGTCTCGTGCGTCTGCAGCTGAACAAACTACTACGCATGGATTGATCGAATCGTTTGAAGAGTCAGTGACCTGAGAATGAATTTAAGAGTAATATTAAATCATCGTAAGATCCTGTGGAGTAAGCTTAATAAGTTTCAAATACATAATTAAAGACCCCCAGATCTGAAGCGCTCGGTTGCCTACTTTCTCTTTCTCTTGTTTCCCCCCCCTCCTCTCGCGTATTAAATGTGAATTTCCCCGCCGCCGCTTGTCGGGCTCGTTGGGTAGTTTCGCCCTGCCTTTGATTCAGCGAACTTCCAGGGATCAAAGTTGCCGGCCGATCCAGACGCAGCCGCCAGCGCACCACATCCAACGTGATTCCCCAGCGTCAGCCCGTCATCTTTATCTTGCTGTTTCGACCATCGGTCTGTCTGTCTACCGGACTCTGATTGATTGATTGCTTGATTGATTGCTTGATTGATTGATTGACGGATGGAGTGACCCGAATCCTCCTCCACCTTTACCCCCTCCAACTTGACGGACTGGTTTCGCCTGCGCACATCATTCACTGTTTGTGCCTCTGACGAACTTAATTAGTCCGACCTTACTCCCCATAACCAGGAGTTTTGTCGACTATTTCCCTTCATTGTCACTCCCTTCGGTTCTGAAGGTATGTTTCTGGATTACTGATGACCCCTCGACGCATGTAGCGACTGCTTATCAGCGAGTCTGGATCTCCCCTGATTTGTCATTGTTGCTTCTTTTTCCCTTCCCGGGCGGCCGTGACGTTGTTGGACCTCATATGGTCCTTGTCGTTAAAAGCCATGATTCTTCGACCTACTCTTTTATGCCGTTAGTTAGCCCATGAGTTACGATTACTAACTTTATCTTTTCTGCACGTTTAGCGCTTGGTCGCTCCGACCGTGTTTGTCTTGCCCACTATTGTCACCCTTTTCTATTCTGAGACGACTTGCATATTACGAACTTAACGTCTTTGGAAGCGATCAATCTACAGACATATTGCGCTGTGTATTTCTGATCATTGCGCTCCGCACGAGCATTCTAAATCACTCCAGTCGCTCCCGCGGTTCTGTACCATATAGATCTCTCCATCACGATACCTCGGCGAAGAAAAACCGCCCCAAAAGTGCTTGTGATACGTTGTTCCTTTCCATGAATCTGTTCGTCCGGTTATATAATCCAACATGTTTTGGCGCTTTGGTGGATATGCAAGTATCTCCTCAATTGATACCCTTCTTGACAAGCCTGATGTCAGCCTTGAAGAGTTACTGGATGAGTCGGAGCTGATTCAGGAGCTTAAACAACATAATACGAAGCTCATAGAGTATTTACGAGATGATAATGTCTTGAAACGCCTTATGGACCATGTTACCGCCCCTAGCCTAGTGAACGAAGATGATGACGAGGATGATGTCAATGACACTAATGGGAGTAAGGATGCTACCACGGAGGACGGAAAGCGGGGAGATCCGCTGAACGATATCTTGGACCCGGAAGACTTAGAAAGAGCAGAGAAGGAACGGCTCAAGCGTGCATACGTCGCTTGCGAGATTCTCTCGGCTGAAGTATGGTCGATATTGGACTCTATCATGCTGAACCCTGACCATCTCCGAGACTTCTGGGGTTTCCTGCGAAGATCGCCGCCCCTAGATTCTCTTCAAGCGAGCTATTTCACTAAAGTGAATGAGACACTCTTTGACAGGAAAACCAGCGAGATGCTGGATTTCCTCAAATCTTTGGAAGGAATTATCCCAGCGATTCTGCAGCACATCGATAACCCCATGGTTATGGACCTTTTGCTTAAGATCATCAGTCTCGAGAAGGTAGAAGGTGGCCAAGGCATCGTCGACGTAAGTTCATAGTGGTGAAGCCCCTCCTAGACTTTCCCATCGCTGACGCGCAGTCCACAGTGGCTCAAAACACAAGACCTGATACCTAAGCTTCTTTCTTTCTTGTCTTCGGAGTGGCCAGCCTCGGTTCAAACCTCGGCCGGCGATTTTCTCAAAGCTATAATCACTATATCCGCGAACGCAACGCAGAATGATCAAACCTGTATTGGCCCTAACAGTTTGACGCGTCAGTTGGTTTCCAGGCCCTGTGTGGAAAGCCTCATCAAGGCTATGCTACAGGGCGGCAACCCTTTAACTGTGGGCGTGGGTATTGTCATTGAGGTCATCCGCAAGAATAACTCTGACTATGATCCGGACACTATCAATAGCCCTGATTCGCTACCCACTACATACGATCCTATCTATCTTGGTAACCTCCTTCGAATCTTCGCTAAGCACATCCCAGACTTTATGAAGTTGATTCAAAGTTCTACACATACTGTTAAGGACGGCGAGGAACTCAAGAGCGTAGATAGGGGCAGATTAAGTTCAGCTTGGGGGGCGAAAATCGAACCATTAGGTTTCGACCGATTTAAGACCTGCGAACTGATGGCTGAGCTGTTACACTGCAGTAACATGGCTCTCTTGAACCAACCCGGGAGCGAGGAGTATGTACAACAGCGGGATGCTGAACGCGAGAAGTTATTACGAGAGGGCGCTTTCATTTCGGACAGAGAAGAGACCTCCGCTTTCGATGGTAACGACTCTACAGTGGATTTCGTCAATGGGTCGATGGTTGGTTATGGCTCTCCCGAGGGCTCTAGAGCTCTTGAGGTCGCGAATACGGGTGAGGATGGATTCGAGGATGTTAGCTCATCGGGTGTCCTTGCCGATAAGGAGAAAGATACTGCTGAAGCCAAGGATACCTCAGGTCAAGAAGTGCAATCCTCATCGGAACTGCAGGGCTTTGCACCAGTAAAAGAAAAGGAGTCCGGTGTGCCAGTACACAAAAATGAAGAGCAGAACAATGCAAACGAAGAGACCACGCAAACGCGTACGCCTTCTTCAGACCCAATGTCTCCTACTGCATTGGGAATAACTGAACAGGTTGAAGAGGTGACCCTCGACACTAATCAAAAGGCGAGCGACAACAGATTATCTACAGAAGAAGCACCTAAGGAACCTCCGGTCACTTTGACAGACAATCAAGAACAGGAAACTGCTCCGATGTCTTCTGTGTCGGAGTCGGCTCCACCTCCTCTCTTTGCCTCCAAACAACAGAACCAGCAATCAAGCTCCCAGACGCCTGACACTTCTGGACAGGCTGGTGACGCTTCAAGCTCCACGGACTCTGCCGGAGAGGTACAAACAACCGAGGGTGAACCACGGCAACACATGCACCCAGACATTCAGCTTGACCCCAACGGTCAGCCTGTTGTAGGGGATTATCTCAAGCTGATGTTTGTGGAGAATCGAGTTGTGCCTACTATTTTGGTAAGGGTTGCGCCAAAACGCAGTTATCCTTCATGACTAACTTTGCACGCCAGGGCTTCTTCTTCCGATTCCCGTGGAACAACTTCCTCCACAATGTTGTATATGACGTTATACAGCAAGTGTTTAATGGCCCTATGGAACGTGGTTATAATCGAGTCTTGGCCATTGATGTCTTCGAAACTGGACGAATAACCCAGGAGATTGTAGAGGGACAGAAACGGAGTGATGAAACGCAACGGACCAAGCAGATCAGGCTTGGCTACATGGGCCATTTAACCCTGATCGCAGAGGAAGTTGTCAAGTTCAGCGAGCGGCACCCGCCTGAATTGCTTTCTCCGACTGTTATGGAGAACGTCTTAAATCCAGAGTGGATAGACTATGTCGAGCAAACGCTTTCGGAGACTAGAGAGCGCGATAATGCCATTCTCGGTGGGGTACGCCCGGATATGTCCATTGGTCACCGCCAGGGCATGCTTAATTCAGGTCAAAGCATGACTGGTTCATCGGCTCTTGCAGATGCTGGGTTGAACGGAGCGGCTGGAGGATCTACTTTCCAGGGCTTTGACATGATGAGTCAAGGAAGTGTCTCTGGCGGGGCCTTCGGTCTCAGCGGCGGAGGTAGTTCTCTCCTTAGCGGGTTTGCAAGCTCAAGTGACGATGAGGATGAAGACATGGAAGATCAGGAAGACAGAAACCTCGGCGATCAATCCGCCGAAGGCGGCTCTGAAAATGTGGGTGATGATTTCTTTAGTGATGTCGATATGCGGGATTATTGAGTCTTGGAATTTATCTTCACCTTCCCCCTTTGATTCTCTTCTTGTATACATTGTTGCATCTTGTTTTGCATTTTCCCAACTGGTCTATGTGAACCAGCTGCAGAGGGTCAGCGCATGGTGAATGACGGGAATAGTGGTGGTTACATGAGGGCCATGCACATAAGGCGCTTGGCTTGGAGCACTTTCCATTCACGTATGAAGTCATTCAAGAAAAACCGCAACTCCCAAGGGTCATGTGACGTTTTGTTCGTGCCAAACAGTTTTTACGAGTTTAGTAGTCCTCTGGCTTTCAGCTTAGACGTTGACTCCTTCGTTTCTGTACACTGCTATTGTCCCTTTCTCCGCTGTATTCTTGTGCTTTTATAGTTCCCGCATACGCTTTGCATGTTTAATGTATGCTTGATGTTGCAGTTTCACTAACCCAATCTCAATTACAGGCATCTACTAACTCCACAAGTCAGCCTATTCCGATCCTGCCTCCGCCTCCAGCTCCTCTTAGTCTCGGCCCGTCTCGGGCACGGCGGCAGCTAGCTGCGCGACTC